GAAACAGAGTAGTTCATGATCCGATCTGGTCAAGAAATTTGTCCCACCGCCTAATATGAACTATTCTTAAATACAAATCTATAATTCTTAGTATGTATTATTATTAATATGTACTATATTTAAATATAAACCTATAATTCTTTTTTTTTTGTACTTTTATTAATTTTACTTAATATTTTATACATTTTTCAGATAGTAAAATACTAAAAAAATCTATCGCTAATCATAACACCAAAAAACTAAGCCTAAAAAAATTTAAGCATCAATGTGATAATTAAATAAATTTAACAACTAAATTGAAATTATTTATTTTCTTTTAATTATCAGATATATGTGCATGGGATATATATGTGCATGGCAGTCATATCTTTTGACTAAAATTAATAGGAATTAGCAGTAGTCATTAATTGAAGAGTTAATTTGCTTTAATTGCATGGTTGAAGTGGTTATTTGCGTTTTTTAAATTTAGGGGCATATTTGCAAAAATGGGGCAAGTTTGAGGGCTTAAGGAATTGTTTTGCCAAAAAAAAAAAAAAAACTAATGAGATCTCCCCATTCAATCCCAGCAAGAAAACATGCAAAATGAAATGGTTAAATGTCATAGTTTGGGCCCTCAACTTTAGGTTATGCATAATTTTTGTCATTTAATTCTTTTATACTTTTTTTAGTCCTTCAACTATGAAAAATACACTTTTTTTAGTCTTTACATCAATTAATCCATTAAATTTGTTTATATATATACATTTTTAATCTTTGTACTTTTAAATTGAAGAATAAAAAATGTGTGTATATTATAAGTTGAGAAATTAAAATATACATATTTAGATAGATTTAATGAATTAATTAATAGAAGAATTAAAAAAAAAATTTATAATTGAGAGACCAAAAAGGTACATGAAAAGATTGAGAGATAAAAGTTAGACAAAACTTTAAAGTTTCGAAATTGACATTTATGTCTAAAGCAAAATTAAAGTTAAAATAACAAGAAAATAAAAATTAAAAAAAGAAAAAGTAAAAATGGGCCGAACGGTGGGTGCAGCAGTAAACTGGAGGCTCAAACGGTAAATCAAATAATGGGCCTCCATGCCAATGCCAAATGACGGCCCAAAATGGTAATGCCAAATTACATTAGGAACTACCGATTGACATTTTTACCGTACAATTGCTGCGATCACCGGTACGATTTTTCCATACCAAATCCAATATTATTTCTGACAGATGAAAAATTAAAAGTTATAGGTACCCTTTGTCCTGGAATCCATAGGTTACTATAACATCCAACATGGTAATATATATACATATTATTGATT